TATGTATTGAAATAAGACAAATATTGGTGGGAAAACTGGTCAATGGTAGTTTTCAAAAGTGTAATAAAGAACTGCTGATGGAATAAAGATTGCTTTCCTGGGAATATAAGCTCCTGTTCTGTAGGATACAGTTGGAATTATGAGATTTGATGAAAAGAGATGGGCTGAAGAATAATGCAGGAAAGATAACAAAGAGAAAAAGGAATATCTTAGAACAGCTAATGCTACCCACATAGATCACATTTACCAATCCACTTAAGGAAAAGATGGGAACAGACAGGTCGAAAAAGAGGATGAATAGGAAAAAGAGGATGAGTAGAAAAAAGAGAGAAACAAATGAGGACTATTAGGGGTTTGGGTGGTTTTTAAATAATATTTAACAATAGGTATCAAAAATGTTTGAATCCTGCCCTGCCAGTTAGGTTTGTTTTATGTCAAGTACTTTTTTGTGTGTGCCAGGTATTATATGAGAGGTATATAAAATAAATAATATGCAAAGAGAAGAGAAAGCTCCCAGATGCCAGCTAATGGCCAAACTTGCAAGCAACCCTTTCTAAGGAGGATAGCAGTCTCAGACTTGGTATGGTTAACTCTTTTTCTCAACAGAAGTATATACACAATCTCTTAAGTAAAATAACCATACCTACTAATAAATATGGGCCAATAAAAGTATTATATTCTATCCAATCAAATCAAAAGTATTCTCTATTCTTGAGGTGAAAGAAGGAAAAGTATGAGAAGAGAAGCAGACCAAGATGGAGAAGAATCTCTCTCCCCTACAGAAAAGCTACCCCAAGTTAGTTTGAAACCAGTAATAAGTGAGGAATAATGACTAAAACCATGAGAAGGCATGGAATCCTCCTTTCCAGTCACCATACCCAGGAAAAATAGATACAGTTAAGCCTTGTTATTCATGTATTCTTTATTTGCAAATCACCTACTCACTAAATTTTTTAACTACAAAATCAATACATGCAGCACTTTCACGGTCATTTGCAGACATGCACAGAGCAACAAGAAATTTGAGTCGCTTGAGGCCCATGTTCCTAGCTAATGTCAAACAAGGCATCAGCTCCCACACTATAATTAAGTATCCTTACTGTGGTCTATTTAGTACCACATTTTTAACATGTTTGTGCTTTTTGTCAGTGATTTAATTTGTTTAAAATCACCCCCAAGTACAAGAAGGCTGTGATGTGCCCTATGGAGAACAAACATGTGTTAGACAAGCTTCATTCACGCATGAGTTATAGTGCTGTTGGCTGTAAGTTCGATGTTAATGATTCAATGATATATATTAAATAAGGTGTCTTAAAACAGAAACATACCTAAACAAGGTTATGTATTGATTGGTTGATGAAAGTATTGTGATCAGAGGCTCACAAGAACCTAATTGGGAGCAATGGCTCAGTATTCACTAATTCAGTGTGCGTGTGTGTGTGTGTGTGTGTGTGTGTGTGTGTGTGTATGACATCTTTATACAACAAAACTACCAGAAAAGAAAAAAAGAGAGAGAGACTCAATTGTACCTGGAGCATCACTTCTTATGTAAATAAACTCTACCTATAGTCGACCATAAAGATACCTGGTTTTGTACTACAATATGTGTGATGGGAAGCTACAGTGACCATGGGCATAGAGAGGGGCTGTGGCTGGGCAGCACCAGTACCTGGATGACTCACCTAAGTCCTGAGACAAAGGGAATTAAATTAATTCAGGGGCTGAATGGGAAACAGAAGCAGAGTCTGAGTTAATCCAAAGACCCAAATAAATAGGCTATGCTAAGTATAGCATAGGACCTGGAGTTTTCAGATCTATAGCTAGGTTAGGAAACAACAGAAGGAAAAGAAAGAAAAAAAAAAACAAAACTATGCCTGAGAGTTCTGATAAAGGTTGAATGTTAAAGCTGTTTACTAGTCATAGTACAACTTCAGAGTATGGCTGTGGCTGCCAGGGCTCTGCTGCCTGCTGATCCAATTTGGAGCACCCTTCCTGTTTCTGACAGATAAGAGTTAAAGGGTAGGGGCAACAGCTCCAAAAGACAAAGCTGAAGGAAGTCTACACTGTTTAAAACATTACTAGACATATTGTTTCTATCTGCTGTGGAAGACCAAAATGTTCTCCTCCACCCCAAGTAACCCATTAGAGATCTAATATAATTAACCACTTCTCACCACCACCACAAAAGAAACCCAAGGCAGATAGAAAGCTATTTTATAATCTTGAAATCTGAATTTGTTTACTAATCAAAACCTCTCAACAAAATCTCTTGTCAGAATCTAAAATTTAATTTCAGAAATCACCTTGCCAAAATGCATAGAAGATAACTTTGAAATCTGTCACAATTAACAGTCACTCTAAGTCAAAAAGTATTTTTCACACAATATCTTGGGTCTATATGTGAAATGCAAAACCAAGTTTTGAGTGTTTACATCTCCCAGTCGATGACACATTTATCAGCAAGCTGCAAACAGAACCTCTGAAACATAAGCCACTTAAAAAGATTTTTTACAGATTTCATTGCCTAATAAAAAGTCTGATGAGAAACATTGTCACCCATTTTCATATTCTGAGCTGTGGCAAACACATTTCTGACAACGGGGTAATCAATATAAACAAGAGAAAGCATTTTAGAGGAACTTTTAATCTTTGGATTGAGATTTGCATCAAAATTTCCTTGATTTGCTCACCCCCAAAAACATTTTTTTCCCAATTATCTTTTGTGTTCTTCCTTCACTGACTGCTGTGATGAATGTTTTTACAACACTAATGCTGTTAAAGCATGCACTTGTGACCCCATTGTGACACAAAGCAAGTAGTGCACATAGGGAATGCAAGCACATAACTGCTAATCTTGCCTTTTAAATGCCTTGGCACTTGACCTATTGAAATGCCCATTACACAATGCATGTCAGCTTGGCAAAAGACAAGAGACAAGACACCATATCAGGAAGCAGATTCTTTGAAAATAAATCACTTGAAGGACTGCAATGTGGTAGGAATTGATTGAGAACAATGCAGTACCATATAGTGAAGTAACCTGCTTAAACCCTACAAACAAGTCACCACTTCTAAAAGCTCTATAAATTAGAGCACTGTGGCATCTGATTTAACCCATGAATGACTTTTAGATTAGAGGAAATAATAAATAATAATTTAATATAAAGAACTTAAGATTTAGAAACATAAGTAGTATGATGTTTTTTACTCTGAAGCAACTATCTTTTCATCCTGCTTGTGCAAGAAGGCTTTCCAATTTTGTATACCTTACTAGGTATATCTCAGACCTAAAAGCGACCACAATCATGTATACCGAAGCATTTTTACTCATCCTGTCCACTATCCAATTATAGGTTCAGAGCCAACACAGTAACACAAATGAAATAAATCTTAGGGAAAAGTCTGGTCTGCATTTTTCTGATAGGGAATCACACAGCTAGTTTTCAGGTGGTACTGGAACCAGGTCTCTAAGACGGAGCAGATGGCAAACTGTTCATACTCCACCTATGTAAATGTCAGACAAAACTGTGAGTTACTCTACAATTATTCTTTTGTGTGTGTAATTCACAGATTTCAAAAAAAGGAGTTGGTGATATATTGGAAAAAATAAAATTCTTTAAGCAGGTTTTACTATATGAATGTAAATATTTACAGTATACTTAATGTTTAGGTAAAATTGAAACCTTCAATGATCAGTATAAAAAACTTAACATTTAAACTTTATAATGAACATGTTACATTTTACTTTCTGAACAGATAAAAATATGCATAATTTAAAATCTTAAAATTGTATAAATATTCAATGTTTGATGGACAGTTATGAGATTTGAGAATAATATAAAAAAATCAAACCAAAAATAAAACCAAAATCCCAATCTCAGCATATTAATTTAGAAATTAGAATTCTATAATTCTG